CTCTAGCATTAAGTACCAGGTAACCTATGGCTATGTCATCTTCTTCAAGCATTCTATACAAATCTTATAAGAAGTCAAACTGAGTGTGAATTCGTCAATCATGCATAACCAAGACTTAAGCATCCTATCATTTAAAAATTTCAAATGTACATTTGAAAGTGGTGAGTCTTAACTTCCTTCAACAATTTAATATCCTGCTTTTTATGAATATGAGAATCAAGTTGGTGAATTGTCATTCTCCTTGGTTCAGAAATGATAACCACTTTGAATTTACCGGTTACTTCCCTTGTCATTTTTAAAAGCTTCAGATATTTACATTTTAATATTGAATTGTAACACTAATAAAACTGAGAAAAAATGATCACATTTATTTGCCAATGTTCCATAAAAAATTATTGTTTCTTCCATAATCGACTTTCTATTATATAGCTAGAAGTTAATTATACCATATAAATCATAATCTAAGTGGTAACACATTTCTTCATGAAAACAAGCTATAGTCAACTGCCAATATGAGTGAATAGATTTGGAAATGAGTGAAATAGTGGAAAATATTCTTTGACGAGATTAAATCAAGTGGGAAACTGAAAGTTTACAGATTTGAAGAACAAAAGCTTTCATTTTGAACATCTAGATAATTGAACTTGTCGCTCAACAAATATACAGAAAAAACTGGAGATGCATTGGGCATATACTGAGAAAACCATTCGGAGACATCATGCACCAAGCCATTACCCTTGAGTGGAAGACAAATGGAAAACGACGAGTTGGGCGTGCGAGGCGAGGGTGACATGGAGGAGATCATGTCAGGTAGAAATGAAAGCTGCTGGGCAGCGATGGAGACAGGTTGGAAAGACTGCAGAGAACAGAGTGAAATGCAGATGTGCCTCTGAAGCCCTTTGTCCCACTAGGAACTCAAAGAACAAATAATCATAATTACTGAACAAGTTGATATTCAGATTGAGAAAAAGAACCATGATGGATGATCACAAGCTCTCAAGCGTATGATCATAGATCAAATGAATATTCTAGATAATTGTAAATTGAAATAAATCAGTTGGAGGGAGATTGAAAAATTGACTTTTCAGCGTAAGTTTGTCTCAATGAGTGGTCCCTTGAAGCGGTACTCACTAAGTGATGATAACCGAATTCCTAGCCATCTGAATTCTATTTGCTTCATTTTGTGACAACCGCAGGGGAATTAGTTTGAATAATATTGTGTCCGAAATCCTAGGATCCATAGTTATTCGACTCTTAACTGGAGCTTGAGAACAGCAAACTCGAGAGTTTCAGACCTGGAAAATGGTGAGTCGATCAGAATTTAACTCTCGGACAGGTTCTGGAACACAGACATACCTACCGGTGCTTACCATATTTCTTGACCTGAAGAAGTTATCAGATTCTGTTGACCATAATGCGTTGTGGCAGTTAATGGAGTATCAAGCAAGTATATAACGATAATCGAGGGTCTCTACTCGAACTCAAGCAGCCGTGTCAGGGCTGATGGAGAGTTGTCATGTAAATTGCCGACAACTAGTGGTGTCCGCAGTCACCATTCTTATTTAACTTCATCATAGGCGTACTAAGGTAAATAACCTTAAGTAAGTCTGACTTCATAGGAGTTGATACACCCCTGAAGTCATCTAGTTACTTGGAATATACAGACGATGTTGTCCTTCTGCATGAAAATGCTGACAAAATATAGGTAGAATCCTCCGGACACGTTCAGCAGAAATCTGAATATGTTTGACATGCGTTTCGCTGGCACCTGTCAAATGTAAGACAATGCTATATGATTAGTCTTCTGCAAGTACTCCCAATTTAATGATACGGAGTGAATTAGTGGAATTTGCATGACCCCGCCTATCAAGGGACTTACTGACAAAATCAGTGCTTGGATACATAAGGGCCATTTGCCAATTTGCGTCGTCTGTGGCCCCGGCTGGCGGGATATCCGACTACCTATCAAACGACGAGTGTACTACTCTGCAGTTTGTTCTGTCCTCTTTTACGGCTGTGAGACATGGTCGTTAGAAGTAGGAGATATGAAGCGGTTACTGGTCTTCAAACACAGATATCTTCGCAACATTGCTCACATTTGGCGGGATCACTGTGTGAGTAATGTTGAGGTCAGGGAATGGGTACTAGTTTATCATAGATGTTCTCATGGAGGTTTCCCTATCGTCATCTGACTACACAGCTGTTGACCTATTCACAGGAGAATTTTCGGTGGACGGAGAATACGCAGATGACACAGTGCCGTTAGGCGAAGGCATTGACAAGATACAGATTCTTCTGGACACTTTGAGAATGTTTGAAGAGTTTCTCGCCACCCAAGTGAGAATTGTTGCTCCACGACTGATCTTCAACAGCACCCCAACTAACAGTAAGTAGTGGAACGGTTGAGCACGTTGAACACTTCACTTACCTGGGAAGTCACATCAGCCGTAGATACTCAGTAGCCCAAGAAATCCCTGCAAGGAAACAAAAGGTTCAGTTAGCTTTTGCCAACTTACACCATCTGTGGAGCCACAGCTATATCCTACTCTCGAGTGTACTGTACTGCAGTTCGCTCTGTTCTACTATATGGCTGTGAAACATGGCCATTAAAGGTAGGACACATGAGAAGACTTCAGGTGTTTGACCACCGTTGCCTTCGTAGCATAGGCCGTGTTTCGTGGTGTCATCACGTGAGTAACGCAGAAGTCAGGTGTGGACTTTTAGGTAGGAGAGATAAGACAGTTGTGAACCTTCATCGACTGACATGGCTGGAACATGTGTTGCATAAGCCTAACTACCGTCTGCCTCGTCGCACAATGTTGGCCGAAGTAAGTTCAGACTGGAAAAAGGCTCGAGGCGGCCAGACTAAAACATGGCATCAATGCATGAAGTCCTTGACTGTTGGTTTGAGCCATGTAGGACGATGCAGATTGGGATCGGTGGGACAAGAGAAACTAGTGGTTGGGGACTCTAGGTGATATGGTTCAGAAGCGACGGCAGTGGCGTAGATGTACACACACACCATCATTTTAATCGATATGCTTAATCTCAGCATTTTCTCATTCTACCATCCTCTCTTTCACTACTTTCCTTGATCGGTTTTTCTTTTTTGATCTCCCATTTTATTGCCTTGTTACTTGATGTGCTGATATGAGATATGGTAACTTGGACCGTTGTATGGTAATGCCTGGTCCTCTGTTGATGATTTCGTCTAGGAACACTTATAAGTTTTGTGGCAATGCATATTTTAAACAGGTATTAGCATATAACTAACTCCCAGTTCAAACAATCCCAGTGAACAAATCTTTTTATTACTATTTATTGATCTACTCCGTTGTTTCATTGGGTCGAACTCTATTGGCATATGGGCTCCTATGCGGATACCTCTATATTGCCTAAGTGTCAATTATGGTAATTTAGTTGGTTTTGGCTAGGGCAGAGGAATCCAGGACGCGTGTTTCGTCCGACTTGGGACTCGTGAGCTGGATGCACCTGCACCCCAGTGAGTGTTGTTCCCACTGAGACTAGCACCCCTCGCTTCAAACGCCAAGGCGTTATCCACTATACCACGCAGGAACGATAGCCACTTCTTGTACAACGGGTAGTAGTTATTTCTGTTTTTTGATATGCTTGTAATTCTCCGTTGTTTCATTGGAATAGTGGATAATACCTTGGTGTTTGAAGCAATAGGTAGGAGTCTCGGAGGGGACAACACCACTCACTAGGGTGCGCGTACATCCAGCTGGCGAGTCCCAAATAGGACAAAACGTACTTTCTGGATTCCTCTGGTAGCCACAATCAACTAAATTACCATATCTTGTTACTATTTCCATTTTATTTCTCACGATAACAGATTTTTAGGTAAGCATAAAAGTCGTTTGTATTTTTGTATCATAATATATTATGCTATAAAAAAAAGACTAGAGGCAAATACTGCTGTATATGCAAAAAGGTCGAAGGATCAGCGTAGGTAAACGGGGGTAATAATTGCAGAAGCATCTAGAAATATGCATCAATAAAGTAAATAACATAATGCACATAATATCACGTAAGAATAAAGGAGAGAAAAAAATACATCACTGAATGAGAAAATTAAAAATAAGTGCTGTTCATAAAATGTCTTTTACACTACTTTAATGAAGAAAAGTTAATAAGATACGCAAAAGATTTTTAAATGCCTCGTTGAAAAGGCACACAGCCTTTCGAATATCAACAGAATGAGTGAATAGTCAGTTTTTCATGAAAATAAATGCATAATAGGTAATGACAGAATCAAAAAGAGAATGGCAAGATACCAAGCGCGCGCATATATATATATATATATATATATATATATATATATATATATATGTCAAGTGAGTGTATTTCGTCAATAAGGTCAAAATTATACAGGAAAATGTTTTCAGGCATGTGAGTTATTATTAACAACAATAACAATGGAAATATTGATGAAAATAAATAAGTAGGGTTGGATATGCAAATAAAGTTAGTCTTATTTCAGTGAATATATATGGGATTCAAGATTAAAATTAATGAAATATGAATATGTTTTCTGATTATAATCAGGGGGTACTATTTATATATAGATATGCTAACACAGGAAAACAATCTGAAAATACAATGCAAAATACTGGTAGTAAACACACTAAACATTACAATACAAGATAGTAGTAATAGTATAAGTGAGGTATAGAGAGAAATCACAACGAAAAAGTAGGGTTGGTAAGACAAGATGATGAACCTTACAGACATTTAAACACTCAGTGGTAGTTAGTAGTAAGTAATAAGTGTGACCAACGACAAAAAAAAGAGAAAGACAATAAAAACTAAACATATGCACATGAAGGTGTAAAACATAACGATAATGATAGTAATATAATGAAAACACCCAACTAAACAATAAAAACTAAATAGATAGATAGATCTGGAGACAACTAAATGAATATTGAGCTGATTACAACCGTGAACTCATTAAAGCGCTATTGTATCTTTAGCCTTCAATTAATAATAATAATAATAATAATAATAATAATAATAATAATAATAATGAAAGATCGTAGTTTGCTTTTCATCTATTATTGCACAATGACTTCACATTAGTGACAGAGAAAAAGACAGAGACGGTTGTGTGGCAGGGGGCGGTGATACAATTGTGACCGGATATGAAGGTCTTCAGAAGAGACCAAATGCTATAATGTTAGCTGATCATTATTATTTTGTTAAATTCATTTACTGTAAAATAACTTGAAGAAAATATTCAGAGATGAGAAATGCATAACTTTAGAAAACTAGATACAAATTCAATTTTATGAATATTACACCATATCATTCTGTTGCATATTCCAAAGTATGAGATTTTACATCTTGTAGTACATCAGTTGATACGATTGTATTATCGCCTACATTCATTTCTGAATCACAAACACGATCATCAGTAGTATTAGAACATGAACAATCGCCAACATTTTCATTTTCCTCGGATCCAGACAGTAATCCTGATGGTACAGTCAACTGATGCTGACTTTGATGATGATGTTTACCCCGTTGTTTAGGCTTACCACGACTAAAGAAGTTAACAAAAGCATTTCGCTTCTTCAATAATCCACCTTTTGAATGTTGACTTACTTCATTTGGTGAAACAGTTTCTGACAGTTTGCAACCCTAAAGATAAATGAGAATATAAGATATATATATAAGAAATCTGTCATAATAATCATTTGACCACCACCACAACAACAGAAAAAAAACCCAACCTAATACCATACCTTATTATGTCATCCAGTAGCTTCAAGTATATTGTATAAGACATTATGTAGACAAGTAGAACATGATCCACTTGTGCTGTTAAAACATACCTTCATTGAAACATTTCATTGTAGAAAAGATGACGATAGATACTTTTATAATTGGAAATCAAAAATCCACTATCTTTTTCCTATAAAACGTTACTTTTGGAGAAACCTTGAAATATATCCTTTTTTGTTACGGTTGCTGGTTATTCCCAATTCTACTACTATCAAATTCAGTGTAACAATTATTTTCACCTAGTACTACTAATCCACAGTATAATGACTGTGAAAAACTTGGCAAATGCCCCTACATTCATGCTTAAGACAGCCTACATCACAGCTATTATTAATATGACCTTATAGTTTTACTTGACTGTTCCAACTTTACTAGATGCATGAGAATTAGGATCTAAAAACTCCTAATTGAAAGCTGCAGTTTCATCATATGATTTTCATTGTTCATAGGTTACAAGACAGTTTTAAATCCAAAAAGAATGAAGACTCTATTGGTTTACACAGATTTCAACTGAGTCAACAACAGTTTGATGATTGTTAACCCTTTAAAGTAAAGTTAAAATCTCGTTAACTAAATGAATACACACAGTTTAGTAGAGTAACAGGTAATCAGAGTAGTGGAAGAACAGTAGCGGTGAAATACACTATAGTTCAAAGATGGACTTTTTTATTACATATGGAGAAACAGAGAAATTGTAAATCCTTGTTTATGCCTCACAAACAGTTAATCTATTCATGAATTAAAACTTTTAATCCCTATAAACAACCATATATGCACCATAAATGGATATTTGACAATGTCAATCATTATTTACAATCAACAAAACAGGTTGAATATCAGGGGGAAAAAAAAGAAAATAATACAGAACATATACTCCAAAGTCAAACAGGAAAAAATATGTACATCACTATCGAAAAAACTACAAATTACTAAATCCAGGTAGGTGCACTTAGCATGATATGACCTTAAAGTAAATACAAATACGTAAAAATAAAAATAAAAAGTAAATGAAGCAATCAAAACTGTGCAAAAATGCAGAACATAACATTATAACAGATAGATGTTAACATAAACTCTTGTATTAGTGTGTATAATCGAAGAAGTATGAAAATAAAACACTTAACATTATATAGAAGGCTAGACACGCATGTAATCTGAGTGTTCGTTTATATCACTAACTAGAAAGTAAAGCGAATAATTTAATGATATAATCAATTGTAAAAGTTTATGAAATGTACAAAATTATACAACATTAGTATATACTGTTCACCAGCAATTTAGTGTTGATGAGCTGCTAACCAGTAGTGTACTCAAACCTATAACAACTTAGACAACCAAATTGTTCAATCAAGTTGAATTGCGCTTCAATTCATCCTGTTACCCAACTATAAACGATGACTTTGCAAAAACTTGATCTGATTTTACTAAATGTTTATCAACATTTTCATTGTTGACAAAAGATGATGGATGTGACCTCAGAATACTAAGCATAGTAAGTGAATGAATCGATGAAAAACATTCAAAAATAGATATGAACTCATCAATACAAAGCTCATTGTTTTTATAAGTTTGTTAATTCAAGAAACAATATTTTGTGCCGTAGTAGATAACGCTTTGACGTTTGAAGTGATGGGCATTGGGTTCATGTCTCATCCACTTACTAGGATGCAGGTATGCTTGATTGATGAGTCCCAATTGGGACAAAGCGTGCATCATGCATTCTACTGCTACTCATCGAGATAAATAAAGCAGTGAAGAAGTTTCCAGCAAAAAGATAGACGATAATGAAATACGTTGTTCATTTATGGTAAAATAATACTGAAGCAAAAGCAACAATGTAGTAGCTTAGTAAAACTTCTTTGACTAGAAAATGAAAGCAAACTTCTGGATAAAGTGACCATGATGATTTCCGCCTTCATATAAGACGCTCTTAAATTCATGACCCTTTTAAGTGAAAGTGAAGTCCCTAAATCAATGACCGACACTTCAACTATTGAATATACACACGTTTGGTGGCAACAGGTTTTTTGATAGTCGTAACTATCAAAAGCTTGGAAGTTTTAATGATGCCCTGTAGCTATTAAGATAGTAGACCTACAATAAAAGGCATTCTAAAATACAACTAGATGCTTGACAAACTACATTTAATCCGCTAGAACTAACTAAATACGTTGGATGTTATACCCATATTGGTTTTTAGCGTCATCGAGTGATAAATGTTAACCAGAAAATTACCATTCGTATTATCTGATATGACATAACGAATAGTGAAAAAATGATTCTTACTCATTATCAGAACTAATAACACATGAAACAATAAGGAGTAACTGTTTAACCAATTTGAAAAATTCTCTACGTTAATCCAGTAAATGACTTTGTTCAGTGTTTACTAAAATGATTTTTTAAATCATATGAAAGGGAAGTAAAACAACAAGATTTTCAAATCAGTATTCTCGACTTTAATTAACCAGAATCATTTTCTATTGCAAAGACATACATATATATAGCAAGCAGGTTGATGTACTAGGCAATGAGCCATATCTAATTGGTGGGTGTTAATAGTGCTAACTACGTGATTTCTAAAACCTTGGTAGATGGATGAGGTTAGAAGCTGTAACTCGATGACTGTGTCTAGGACATCCATCAAATATAGTGACTATAGAAAATTTAGGTTTTATCATAATAAAACTCATGAAGTGACCTTAACGAAATCTTAACTCACAACTCGACTCTAAAATATGTATAAACACACAGTAAGCCTTAATTCTTATACACTGCTTCGTGTTACCGAACTCAGCATTAACCGAAAAAGGTTAGCAAAGGAACAAACACATTTGCGTTTAGGACTAATAACCATAATATAACTGTGCGATCATCTTTGCATACATATATCCGCAAGTTAACCGCGGGAGTTGTCTCACATCCTGGCAATTTTACAGTGTAACCAAAACCTTAAACGGCTAGCTTCAAAACGAGTAATTGCATAAATGTGCCGGGTATCCATAGGTTACTGCACGGTACAGTCAGAGAATCGAAATGGACTCAGTCAACACGGGCACTTTCGTGAACTAAGCAATGAGACATACGCTGCGTGGGGGCTATAGTTACTAACTAACCTACCAGATCTCAGCAAGTGGGGATCGAAACTGCCACCGATAGGTTGAAAGTTGAGTTTAGACCAGTCAGTCAGAACAAAAATGCAGAATCTCGCACACACATGTGTATCAGTCCAAGTTACAACACTTCCCAGTAGTAGACAAAGTTGTCTGAGAGAATAAGCAATTTGAAGATAAAGATTAGTGCGAATATTCAAGCTTTAGAAGACGTCGAGGAGTGAATACATCTTCGCCATTGTGACTGATTTTCAGTTATAACACCTAGAGACCCCAACAACTGATTCCAATCGCTTTAGAGACTCCAAGCAGACAGTTTGGGTCGTTCTACACGTAAGAGACCAACAGTCAGGGACTTCATCGACTGGTGCTACGTCTTGGTTAGGATAACTCGAATACACTTCCAACCGAATTAAACTTCCCCCAGCATGGTACGAAGAGGTAGGCAGTGCCTTGAAATGTGCAGTACATGTCTAAGCCATTTCAGTTGACTTCACTGTGATTATAGCCAGCAGGAATCAGTCCTCCCGCATCAATCAGTTACGATGACGTTTGCTAACCACAGGATTAGTCTTTACGTCTGATTTTACAGCACACTGAATATTACGTCAGGTTTCCTCAGGATGAGCATTGCTGTTGTGTTTAGATAAATACTTGGCTAACTCATCCAAATGCGTATTTGACGTTCTCACTTTCCAATCGATTGTTGACAGGCTTTACTGTCACTTGCTTCCTGCGACCAGTAAGGTGCAGATACACACGAAGCCATACTAGCTCATGATCAGAGTTCAAACTGGTGCTGCCGAAATAGAGATTATCCTCCCCCGATCCTCTTTAACCATGGCTAGTATGATCATGATCTATATGCCGCCATCGCGGATTTGAAGCCGGCGGATGCCATGTTAGACAGTGTCTCTTCTTATGATATAGTTAGTACTGGCCAGAAACAAGTAATTGTGAGAACAAAGCTGTAATATATGATCACCTTTTTCTGTTCGTTGGCACAGAATTCTGTAGATCCTTTTTTTGATTGGTACAGCTTCCCTACCCAAGCGTTAAAGTCACCTGCTATTATGACTACATCTCAACGTTTTGGTTTCTGCAGCAAAATTGACAGCTTCTCATAGAATTCATTCTTTGCATCATCCGAACTAAAGTCGGTGGATGCGTAGGCGGGAATTACGAAAAGAGAACGGTTGGTCTCACTATCCGTCCTAGTCGTTACAGATCCATTCAGTCGAACACCATATAGACGAGCTGTTTAATGGTGTCCAGTCGAGAAGCGCACTTTCCGACCTACAGCTCAATGCTATGCATACACCAGCGAGTTCTCAAGAGAGTTGCTGGGCCTCGGATACTCGTAAGGTGAATTTCGAAGATTGACTGCTATGGTCAGATGAGATCAATTTAATAACTATATACTACAGTTCTGTATACATGTCCCAGAAGCAGGATGCATCCATGAAAAGAGATTCCACAGTTTGGATGAGCGATGCTTGGTGTCCGATTCGGCATAGAGTTCGGACGCTAAAAGCTTCTCTATGAAATCGATAGCGGGGTTTTAAGATACTAGGAATGAGGTTTCGATGGCTTTGATCGTTGACAATGGTTAGAATCGAACTTTCTGGCATGGCAGAACTCAAAGGAACACAAACTCCAGTCAATAGTTTGACATGGTCATGGCGATAAGCACCACAATTACGATTTTAACCGACTAGTCACGACCAGGTTACATACTAAGAATAGCTGTGAAAGAAACTGGATAGTTGTATGTAAAATAATGGGTGATAGGACCAAAAGCACTATGTAGTGCAAGTTTATTATGTGGAATCGGTTGACATATTGCAGAAATCGTGAAGCTTTTTTCGTGCTAAAATATTGAACACGTGCACTGACACATCTACGCAGTTACTTACGTTCGATTTGGTTTATTGTTTCAGACATTTCCCCACACATTCTGAAGTCGACTTTCTGAAGAAATAAAACACTGTCTGACTGATAGTTAACCCATGATGAGTGATAAAACAGAGAAAAAGTCCCTAAAATGGGAACCCAAAAGACAAATACAAACAAACTGTAAATAAAACCTAAACAGTTGTGTATCATGCAATTTCCTCGTGTTTTTTTTTAAACCGTAAAACATTTGGCTAGCATCTATTTCTGCAAGGCTTTCGTCTTATAGCTAAAATGAATGCATATTCCTTCCAGTTTCATAGATGTATGAACCGAACTACCGTAGCAGAAATTATGGAATTTTTTTTACCGACAAACGGCAAAAAACAATATTGAATAATAGATGGCAAGTAACTTATTCAAGATGAAACACTACTTTTATTATTATGACTACGACCTCATTACTTGCTGTCCTAGCCAGCTATCATCAATGGATTTCAGTGCTGAGTGAGATCGTGGTGTATTTTTGACCCTATATTTGGGAAGATCATAATTAGTGAAACCCAGACATTGATGTGTAAACCGGGAGTCTGCTGGTTCAACCATAAAAGACTGATAGCTAATACAACTCCCAGTAGAAGTACTGTTGAAAACAGACACAATCTACCTAAACACTGAGAAACAACAAGTTCATGCACAAACTAAACATATTTTAAACCGCTTGGAAACTCCAACAGAATATTAGATCAATATGATGAGCATAAAATGGAGATACGAAGTGTTAAAACTGTAAGCTGTATGTGTGGACGTAATCAGTGCGCTGACGATATCTGGGGTTAAGCATTCACTAGAATTGGTGGTCAATCAGATACTCAGCTGACAACTTTTACACTATCGACTCACTACAATTGATCAGTGACTATCCTTCAGGGCAAGTGAATGAATACCAAAATAACGAACTCCCAGTCGATTGATAGAATATACATGTTATCTAATTAATGTCCAGAGTTAACAACCAGAAGTAATGAAACATCCACCTATACAAATAAACAATGAACAGATAGTTGTAATCTAATTTTCATATAACAAATAGTCAGTCGAGGGTAATATGGAGGTTAGGAAGCCGTCAATAAATTCTTACGAATAAATTTACCACAGCAGTTATCTTTAACTGTTTTCAAGGGGAAAACAAATTGAGTTACTACATCTCGAGATACCTATGCAGCTAAGTGATGCTTGACTTTTTTCTAATCATGAAAATGCGATGGTGAGAAATACGTTGGAAAAATATCTGCAAAACATACATCACACAAAATCAAACCTAAACTCACAAGAGATTGGTTGGTCAGCTTTAAAGAGCTGTTCGCACTCTGAGAAGATTTGCGATAAAGTGACGAATCACAGACATCATCACCAGTTGGTTCATCACATGTACTGAACTTGGGGTCCACAAGTTTATCTCGATTCGACGGCTGACGTTCAGCAGACAATGAGCGAGCGAGACAGTTTGGTCTATCCTGGGATTCTGATTTGGTAGTGATATTTGGCCGTAAAACGGTAGAATGTTTACCACTTCCAATGTCTTTAGTGTTCACAGAAGATGAATTAGAACCTAATCTAACTGGACGTTTCATTGTGAAACTCGGCCATTTTCTTTGTCTATGCTGACTGACTTGATTATTTATTGAAGCTGAGATAGATAACTGAGCATCTGTTCGAATAGACTGATCTGAATTAAACGTCGGCAGAGTTTCATGTGTCAATGGGTCCTTAGCTAGAAAAAAAAGATAACAATTTCTTCCATAACGGAGGAAAATAATTTAGTTATTCAAGCGAAGATTAACAAGCAATCACAACATATTTTAAACGAAGTGTAACAGTTTTTACATACCTAAAGAGAGAAGACAAAGTGGTAATTTCACACTAATAATAAAAATGCAGATGGGGAAAAATAATTTGTCCCACGGAATGTACACTGTGGAAGGCTAAGATGTAAATAAAGACGACAATGCCTCATACAAGGGACATTACGACAAACTTGGGTAGAAGAGGATAGAAAATTTAGCTTCCTACAGCAAAATACTTAATTATGATCTCAAAGGTGTCTTGAAATAATTCCTTACATCTCTGTGTAACTTACAAATCCATGGAGATGAAATATTCCATGTCACCAAAAACACAATCGTGGGAATTTACTAAGTAAACGGATACAAAGATTGAGACTCAAAACTTACACAACGAAACGCACGCAGCGACTTTCTGTGCATTCGTTCAGTACTTGAATGGGGGTGCATCGATCATATTTTCACCCTGCAACGGGTTATGGAACACAGGTACACTTGCCGGCTAGTGGCTGACACTTGCCATATTTCTAGACATGGCGGAAACATTTGACTATGTCAACCATGAGGCGTTGTAGCAGTGTCTGACTGAATTATATAATGCTTGTCAACGCTTTCTACTCGAGCTCAGGCAGTCGCGTAAGGGTCTATGGAGAGTTGCCATCAGAAATGACAACAACTCGTGGTGTCCGTCAGGGATGTCCATTGTAACTGTTTCCATTTAACATCTACGTACCAACACATATTACGTTAGGTATGTCTTACTTCACAGGTATTGACCAACTCCCTGAAGGTCATTTGGTTAATTTGGAGTATACAGACGATGGTGTCCTTCTGCATGAAGATGCTGGCAAAATACAGGTGGAGTCCTCCGAACACGTTCAGCAGAAATCTGTATGTTTGGCAGGCGTTTCGCTGGCACCTGTTAAATATAAGATAATGCTCTACGACTGGTCTTCTGCAAGTACTCCCACTTTATTGTGTCGACCACTTCACTTATTCGAGGAGTCAGTCTGCTGAACGGGCTGGTTACTGACTTAATCTCAGTTCGGATACAGAAGGCCCGTTTGGCATTCGCCAATTTGCGTCATCTGTGGCGCCAACTATCCATCAACAGATGAGTATACTGTGCTGCAGTTCGTTCTGTCCTCTTTTACGGCTGTGAGACATGGTCGTTAAGAGTAGGAGACATGAAGCGGTTACTGGTTTTCAAACACAGATATCTTCGCAGCATTGCTTGCACTAGGTGAAATCACTGTATGAGTAATGTTGAGGTCAGGTGATGGGTATTAGGCAAAACAAGCAAGTTGATTGGTGAGGTTGTGAACCTTAGTCAACTAGGTTGGCTTGCACATGTACTGCCTGTGCCGAGCCATCGCCTACCTCGACGTGCCATGCTGGCAGAGGTTAAATTAGGCTGGAAAAGGTTTCAGGGTGACCAAACCAAGACGTCTCTGACTGTTGGCTTGACCCATATGGGGAGATGTAGACTACGTGTTTGGTGTCCATTTAATGATGGGAATCAGTGGTTGAGGACCCTTTGGTGATATAGCTGAAAATCAGTAACAATGGCGAAGATGTATTCACTCCTTGACATCTTCCAAAAGCTCGAATATTCGAACTAACCTTAATCTTCAAACTGCTCATTTTCTCAGACAACTTTGCGTACTTTGATATCAGTCTTTTCTATTCACTTTTTCTTTATCTACTACTGTGAAGTGTGGTAACGTGGACCAATGCACATGTGTGTGCGAAGTTGTACGTTGATTTTATGTATCTGTCCGTTATTGCTACGTTAATATCAATCTGCCAGTCAACCGAATACGTGTATGTATTCAATAATTATTCAGATGAATTAATGAAATGGTCAGTCATATGCGAAAGGTGTGGCCAAGATAAAACAGTCATACTCTGACCATCAGATAACAGTCAATCAAGGATAATACGATTACTGGGAAGTCAATACTTTCTAATGGATACAAGATTATAATCTTATAGACTATAACAAACGCTCCCAATCTACCAGCAAGCTAAATCTGAATTGCCTAAAAAGATATATGCTGCTGAAACATATTGTTCACAGGAAAATCTTATCCAACACACTGTTGTATCATACATTAACATAGAAATTCTTGACTGTTATGATTCACTGTCTTCATTATAGAAAAAAGTTGTGAAGAAACCTCTTAGAAGAGTGGAGTTCTAGCTCACTGATTTAGGCATTCGACTTCCAACTGTTCCACTACAGTTTCGAACCCTGACCAATCTGCCGAAGTATGGACACATGCTTAGAAAGGGGCTTGTTTCTGGTCATTACAAACTTCAGACATAAAGACAACCATTATCTGATGTAGCGTCCACTGACACCGACTCACTAAAGGGAACAGATAGACTATATTGGTATCAGTTATCTTTTACGAAGGTTATCGGGAGATTGAAGCTCCTCCTTCTGGAGTACGCGCTCGGACAGCGACCTAATAGCATAAAACTGAATATTTCTTCAGCGAAGATTTATCAAAATGATGAATCAGACTAACAATTACAACTACCTACTTCTGTACAGGGTTTACGTGCAAAAAACACCCCTGCCGCAAAAAAAACGTTGCAGAAAAGCTTTCAAGACTCCATCAAGAACTAAATCAATTATAAAATTTTCGGAATAAGTATACTCATTCGAAATCCTGTAACGAAGAACAAAACCGGTGGTCAAAGTAAAGCAACATCAGCTGTTTTCTTACGATGAATATATATACAGAAAATAAGTATACTGAGGTGCTGGTCACGTCAGAGCTAGTCTGATTCTCAACGCTAAAATATTTTCGCGATGCTGGGTAATGCTTCAGTGAAAGAGAGTGAGATTAAAAGTTATCCCCGGGTGTTATATGTTTTGTATGGATGCATTGTGAAGTGAAAACTACAATCATAAATCCTTTTGCATCTAGTTTGAAGCCTCAAATAACTCTTTGTGAGCATTATCCATCCTAAATAGTTGTACTTACTTTCTGCCTAAGGATAAGAAGTGCAGCTAACACTTTATACATGAATAAATGGTTTGAAAAACGATTCAATAACAGACGGCATTGTAAAAACTATGTAAGTAGGTAGGATATACAAACAGAACACAGAAAATATTCGTATTTTCACAAACAACTTTACAAACTAAGGCGAGCATGATAACACATGGTGATAACTTTTAGCCTGGCCCGGAAAGAGGACATACAGTTCTTGATTAATTTTGCGAAACGGATTTGTACATCATCCATGTAACAAATTTCAGAAGTAATAAACAGTTCTATATCTTACAATTTTGTAAGTCACATATTCACTGAATGAGTATGCGTCGCTGCAGCTTCAAAGTATAGATATATTATGAAAAATAAACATCGATTTAACATGGAGGTTAGGACTTGACATTTCGGCACTGGTAGTTTATACTGATTCTTATTTTAAGGGTAGAGGGTAAAATGGTGGTAAATGTCCAGTGCCTAACTTGTTTACAGTGTTACAACAGTACTACTGGACTGATTGCTGACGAAAACTCAAAATGAATGCAAAAGACCTATTTATAATTTTGCAATATAGGCTGTCTCCGGCACTGAGATATTCGACTGTTGATTACAGGGTGAGTACACTACACCTACCCGCTATGTTCCACCAAATGCTTCTGAAACATAACCACTGAACGTGAAATATGGCTACAGGTTTTCCTGAAGACTAATCTTTTAGATATCGCTAACACAGTGGAAATATACCACCTTAAGAACGGACCGTTAAAAGTAAAGGACATGAAAAGGCTTTGCGTGTTCGATCACCCTTGCCTTCGTAGGCCGTGTCGTGGTGTCTGACATCAGTAATCCACAAGTCGCACGTAGAGTTGTAAAGAGGAGAGGAAAATCCATTGATCAAGGTATCAACCTTCATCGGCCAAGGTGGCTGGGATATGTGTTACGCACGCCTAATCAACACCAGCTTCCAACATTGCACGATATTGCTGAAGTAGGTTCTGACCTAAAAAAGCTTGTGGGCGGTTAAACCTAAAAAACGGCCTTATAATATGAAGTATTTGACTGTTAATCTGAGCCATGCGGGAAAACGTAGACTACCCGGTTAAAGCCAACGTGACAACTAAAGTTGGTGGTTGGAAACTGTAGGTGAAATGGCTCAGAATTTATGTCTGACACCCATGAATCCACACTTCATCCTTATCTCAGTTGTCATATCAAATTTCTCTACTGGTTGATTCCTTTGAGTAATCTTTTCATGACTTCTGATAACTTTGGTCGTTATTTCTATACCTTCAATCTTAGTGCCTTTAACTCCATGTGGCTCACTGGTTTACGCAGATGACTACTAACCACTGGATCATGGGTTCGAGCCCAGCTCCACCCACAGAGACTTGAACAGTCAGGTAGTATCATTAAGTGTGGCTAATTGTCCGCCTGGACCTCCCCTGCTTAAATAGTTCACTAGTTACTAGCCTGTCCTAAGCCCGGATAAAGAGGGAAAATTGGACATACGGCTCCAACCTTACCCCGGAAAACCAATCCAATCGCCAAACAAACTTCAAAGCACAAAAAAATCATAAAAAAATAAAAACAAGCTTATTCCTTCCTCCCTGGAATCGGGGAGACGAAGTGACACCGGTTGGTGCAGGACTTCGGAAAGTCAATTGGCCGATATGTCTCCTCTCGATGAAAGCAAAAGTAAACATGGGGACATGGAATGTCCACACAGTGTTTAAAGCTGACTGGCAAGACTGTCCAGATCACAAAAGAAATGAGATGAAATGATATAGTGGTAGGAATCTGCGAAAGCAGATGGAATGGAAGTTGACTCTCCTAACTGTGAAGTGGAGAGGAGAGTGAATAATGTACTCCGATATTGTCACCCAGACGACATCGACGAGCACACTGGGTTTTCGAGTGGTTATCATGATGTCTCCAAGAGCATCGAAGGCTCTCTCTCATGTAGTGGGAAGCAATCTCCTCCAGCATCAGGGTTATAACAGCAAGATTCAACTCAAGAGGAAAGAAAGTGACAACCATACAATGCTACGCTGTGGACTTACAAATAATGGAGATGAAGAGAGGAAGGAGGAATTCTACAGACAACTGCAATCAACACTGGACAAGACATGAAAATTCTAATGGTTGAGATTACATGAATGGCAAACTGGGAGCGGACAACTCAGGAAGAGAAGTGATCATGGGTGGAGAAGCACTGGGTGAAATGATGAATGAGAATGGAGAACTGTTTGCAGACTTCTGTGCATTCAACGACTTGGTGATTGGAGGTAGTGTGTACAAACAAGGATATTCACAAAGCGAGCGAAATGGATTTGATTTGACTAGATGAAGATACTGAAAATCAGATTGACATCATTTCAATGTGATGAAGGTGGAGATGCAGCCTACTGGACAGAAGATCAGATGAAGAAGGGGAGCAGATGTAGGTACAGACCACTGACTATCTAGTGCATGGAACCTTCAAAATCAAGTTGAAAGCCTTTACAGAGGTTGGTGATAGGTCACAGTTCAAGTTCAACGTGCAGAAATGAAATTGAACTGAAGGACGATACTTCGAAGGACATCTTCACGTCAGTCATGAGTACGAAATTGGAGATATTGAGCAACATCGCTGATGAAACCTGCATGGAGGAACACTAGAACTCTTTGAAAGCTATGTACAAAGGAACCTGCATAAGCTGATAGAGGAAGGAGAGGAAAATGGCGAAGGAGAAAACAAACCAGTGCAGGGATGGACAACGAAAAGAACTGAGTACAACGTATAAAACACTACACTGGACAAAGAAGTGAGGAAGAGTGCGAGCAAAGACAAAAGACATTTCTACGATACATTGGCAAGTGGATCAGAACAAGCTGCAGGTAGGAGAGAGACATGACAACATTATATCAAATAACCAGGTTAATATTTGGGAAGAGATCAACACAGATGAAACCAATGAAAGATAGTGAAGGAAAGCTAGTTACCAAAGAGGAGAACCAAACAAAACGATGGGCTGACCACTTCAAAAAACTCTTCAATCGACCACTAACTGCAACTCGTCTAGAAATACCACCAGCAACGGCAGAACTACCATTGAACAGAAGCCCTCCAGCGAAAGCAGAAGTGAATGCCATAAAACTGCTGAAATTCAGGAAAGCAGCAGGACCAGATGGAACTCCGCCAGAAGCACCGAAAACAGACGCAGAGACGTGATTAGTGGACATGCTCTCACCACTACTGTAGAAGGTTTTGAAGGAAGGCAGGAAGGAAAGGTACTCACCCACCCATTGATTGGAAAAAGGGTTACCTTGTCAAACTCCCAAACAAGGGAGACTAAAGCCTTTGCAAGGACTGGCGAGGAATCATACTCCTGTCCACCACAGGCAAAATATTAGGCCGCATCATCCTGGAGAGACTAAAAGATGTGCTGGATTCAAAATTACGACTGGAACAGGCTGGATTCGGGAAGGACAAATCATCTGCGAATCAAATCGCAACGCTACGGATCATCACAGAACAGAGTATAGAATGCCAGTCAGCTCTCGACCTCAACTTCATCGATTTTGTAAAGGTCTTCGACAGCGTCAACCGAGAAGTAACTAGGCAGCTGCTTCAACACTACGGTTTTACTAACACAAACCTCTATCAACCTCATTCAACAACGCCACATGCCAAATGATCCATAATGGAAAGCTCAGTGGTGCATTTGACGTGAAAACAGGAGTAAAACAAGGCTGCCTACTATCACCCATGATATTCCTGATTGTGGCGGACTGGATCATTCAGCAAACCGTAAGGAGCTGTGAGAAGACGGGTATACGCTGGCTGGACCGATGAAAAGAGCCTAGAAGACTTGGATTTCGCCAATAATTTATGTCTAATGTAGCACAAACTCGAAAATCTACAGGCGAAAACTAATGAGTTGACAGAAGAGGCAGCGAAAACAGGACTTCAAGTGAATGTAGAGAAGACGGAGATGATGAAGATACCCAGCGAACAACAGCATGAACAAAAAGCACCAATCACCATCGACGGGAGAAACCTAAAGGAAGTTGTCTTTTTCACCTACCCAGGCGTGGCAGCATCGTCTCAACTACAGGCGGCACAGACGAGGATGTCAAAACCAGGATCGGAAAAGTAAGACAGGCTTTCATTAATTTCAAATCACTGTGCAGACCTACTGCACTCAGTACAAAGAACAAGATCCAGATTTTCATCACCAATGTCAGTCAAGTCAGTGCTTCTATGTGATGGTTCAGAAACTTGGCGTGTCACGAAAAGCATTTCCAACAAACTACAGACATTCATCAACAACTGCCTACGCTCACTCGATACTGAAGATCAGATAGCCAGAATAATAAGAATAAGCAACATGAAACTCTGAGAACTAACCAACTAAGAACCTACTACCCAACAATTATGCAGAAGAAAGTGGAGATGGATTGGATTGGGCACACACAGAGATCATTCGGAGACACAATGCGCCAGACACTCGAATGGAAGCCAAAGGAGAAACGAGGAATTGGGTGTCCGAGGTGAGAGTGACCTGGAGGAGGTCATGTGAAGAACAAATGAAAGCTTCTGGGCAGTTATGGCGCCAGGTTCAAAAGACTGCAGGAAACAGAGTGCAATGAATGCGTGCTACTGAAGCCTTGTTTCACTAGGAACCCAAGGGAAAAATAATAATAATAACTGCCCACCTTGATGTGCTGATGAGGTGCGTCAAGTTGGATCGGTATGAAGTAGTGCTAAGTTGGTCGTGACTCACTGATTGTCGAACCGCCATGTTAATGTTGAGTTTAAGAGTATCGCAGGTAAGTTTGGGCATGTTGCACGCGTGCTGAACCCAAATCTACTTCGACGCACAATGTAAAAAAGTATGACTGCGTTAAACAAAGTCACGGGTGACCAGATAAAGATATCTTACAAACACCGACTACTGTTCTTTGCTACATTGAGCTTTCTCAGTGAGTGGTTGGAGACTTCCGCTGACATGACTCATAACCAGCTACAATAGTGAAGACCTATTCACTCCTCTATTTTCGGTTATTCTTACTAACCTCGACTTTACTAATATCCTCAGCGTTGACATTTTTGTATGTCGTTCTTTTACGATCCGCTTATTCTTTGTGTTTTGCAACAAGGTGTAGCAAACTGAATTGATGGAACTGTGTTTAAGATTTTGCATTGATTAGTTGCAAGCTCAAGTCACCTAATATGGTTCACGAGACTAAGTAGTTTCATTCAACTGCCAAAAGGTATGAGACCTATAAACTACTATGGTAATGAATAGGATGCATTTACGCTATTTTACGGTTGGTCATCGTTCTCGCCTTTCACTACAATTAAATTGCATAAAAACAGACAATAGAACATCATCTGGCATATGAAGACAGTCAAGAAAAATGACGCTTGAAAAGAACAACAAACTCAACGAAGAAAGAAACCTCAAATTCTAGCATTCACTTTATTTTAGTGAGGAATAATGAGTCATTCATTTTAAAATCTAACCTTGCTACACAAACCCTGCTGTGTGGATAATGACGCTACCTACTGTATCTCACTTTTTTATTCTCCTGGGCTGAATATCAGTTACCAGTAAGTGGCTAACTAACAAAACTGCATGACTGAACGAAAATCCGTTGGAGTTAAATCTTGGTAATGTATTATGAGAAACAAAGTTTTCATTTAAAGTTTGATTCTTTTTAAAATCTACATAGTTAGTATTGAACACGCAACATACCCCATCCTTCATCACGGGTACTCGTGTTAAATCTTCTCGGATCTTGAAGTGCAAGCAAAAATTCATGCTGCATATGTTGGATATCACGTAACTGCACGACCCACGCCTCTCTATTTGAACAAGTAACAGGGTCAATCACATAAACAACTTCCTTGCCAGGAGTTTGATCTAAGACAGCAAATCGTAGATCATCAGGTGAGTATGCACCACACAAAAGATGATCAACAGTAGCTGCATCTGAATTTAAATGACCACTTGAAAGCTGACAGTTGTACCAATGAGACTGAAAAACAAAGCAAAGTACAAACGAATACTAAACAATTATGTTTTAAAAAAGTATAGTATAAGAAAACACGAAATCCCTGAAAATGAAAAACGCCTAATGTACTGGAATCTTTAAGCAGCAGTTAACCACTTGAAAAAACCTAACTGTAGCTGATAATCTCTAACTTGTAGATTTACTCATGACTAAAGCACTAGAATTTGGAACTTATTGGAGTACTTTGACAGAATATTTCCATGCACAACATTTCGATGTGGAATAGCGTTTAGGTCTATTACATGAATTATGAGCATTCACCCAAATTACAATACTGATTGCACTAATCGTTTCGGTAACCAGAAATCTACTTTAAACAAAGAGGAAAAGGAAAAGTAGTATTATATGGATCATTATCTTAGGAGCGCAGATGCATCCAAACACCATCTTAATCGTCATATGCTTTGTTACTGTTTCAGCCACCTACTCTATCATATTTATTCCCCTGTTTCTACATCTTGCAAGTGTCCTGCATCTTGATGTGTTGATATGCTTTGTCGTAATTTGAACTGTTAGGTAGTCATATCAGGTCTGATTGACAGGATAGCATGCTTAACAAAAGAGCTTATATGATAAAGCCGTAGCTTTAGATCAACCGTAACGTATTTAAGCTTACTATACAGACAACCATCAATTAAATATTTTCGTTTCATTTGAATCCATGCTTAGTTAGTAGAAGCTGAAATGATCCAGTTAGTTCACGTTAGAACGACATCGAGAAAACTAATTCTACACTGTATTTCTCAGCCCACAAAAAATAACAGGTCATTCCAAACGCACTTACCTCATAACGCATCTTGTTGACATTTATTGCAGCTTTGAACTGATAAGTAGACTGGGCAAAAGTATCACTGGTGGTCACGCGTCGTTTTGGTTTGACTTCCTCAGTTACCACAAGCATTTGTTCGAAGAGAAATAAACGAGATTCTACAAACTTCAAGTTTCCTGTGAAAAGTCCACTTCCTTCAGAGACAACTGGGTTGAGACCATCAACAGGAGACGGTAAACCTAAATTAGTTGGTGTGGCAGACGACGAAATAGGTGTGTTTGAAGTGTCTGTAGAAAGTGATATGCCTGAATTCACTCCTAAACGACCGACCTGAGAGGAAGGAATTTTATTTGGTGAAGTGACTGTTTCAAAAAATGAACCACTAGTCGCATTCTGAAGGGACGTCCTATAGGCGCTAACGGTTTCTAACAATTGTTCACGGGTAGTTGTTGCTACGAGTAGATCACTACGCAACAGAATATTACCCAAGGCAGTTATTACTCCAGGAAATCCATCGATTCGTGCAGCCTAAAAAGAAAAACAAGTAGGATTAAGAACTTCTAGGTATCTACGTTATTAGCATCGATGACCAAATCATACCACGTTTGTAATACAATATTCAGTGACAAATATCAAAAAGATGCATGAACACGTTGACCGGACAACGAAGATTTTGACACGACGATGAATCGGCTAAAGTTGTCAAACATATCAACACAGAGACAGTAATCAACAGACATGGCATGAAACAAGTTCTGTCAGTTTTACAACGCCTGTTGTCACTGCTCTATACAAATGTTAAAGAAGCACATTCCTGAGTTATGAACAACGATCCTCAGTCCGTCACCACAAGCCGGGACGATCGACCATCGAGGTGATCGAGACAACCACGTTCCCTACATATCAACTGGTAACCTCACTATATTTAGTATTTCTAAACTGCAATCCGTAAACGCATTCTAGGTTACATAGATTGGCATTATATCCGCTTCAGAATTGCCAGCAACGTTTTCGAATTTCGAAGGGCTGGGAGTGGGGTCATACGTAATTCCAGTCAGAGCTGAGTGGTAGGCAACCAAAGCATTTTTGAGTGTCAGGTTCCTCAGTATTAGGTGACTGAGTAGTCTCCTATCAGAGAACTCTATTTTTGCAACAGTTACTGACGATTCTCTGGATAATTGCTGACTCCAGCTTAATATGGACACCTTTTCCGCAGTAACTGTGAGGTCTATCAGTTCACACTTTAGTTACCTTCACACATGGAATCAAATTTTGTGCATTCATGAGTTCTGATGAGAGCAATAGATTCAGTGACTTTTAAGAATATTTGGTTACAGATTACCAACCTTTTTATCCCTATTTTAACAGATACGATGCAAAGCTGCATCAATTTAGAGCCGTCATCACGCTTTGATAAATACACCTCCTTCTTAAATAAGGACTCACATTGAACTAAAACTGTATACACTTCTCAAATGTTTGTTCCTAATGCAGTCAAACGGCCTTAAAGTAGGATACGATCAGAATCTAAGGATTTATTACGAAAAGGGAATTTTTACAGCTACATAGTAAAAGCAAAACTTAACAGATGAGCACACACAAAACTTTTAACCATAGCGGCTATTTTGGTGTTGTAAGTGGGTTTGCCTACTAAAATGTTACTTTCACGGTATACGGGTTGAAACGTTTATCTCTCAGACTTACTAAAGCCCAGAAAACTAAACAGCCAACGAGAATAAAAGTAGCCAGATCCTAATCCGGTAGAAGTAGTTACGAATTTAATGCGATAAGCAAGTCCGCCCCGTAGTTACGCACCCTGGTGACTACTTAAACGGCCGCTATCGAAAACTCAGTTACGAAGCTGGTACAATCTATCCTGGTTGGGGAATCAGGTCTTCGGAGACAGTTGCCGAATAACTCCTGAACCTGGTCAGTTATCTGCTAAGCCAGGAGGCAGTAAGGGTTGAAATGCCTGGGTGCCACTGTCTAACCACGAAGAGAGGGTGCTTGGTATTAGTACCGATGAGTATGAGATACGACCGGCCTCAACTGGATAACAGACTGAGTACTCGCTGCCGTCCCTGTTAACCAGGGAAAGGTAGACACACCCAGAGATATTGAGGGTTTCTTCGTTAGTAGGAGTTCATAAACTGTTGCGTACACTGTTTTCATGTACATGTGCCTAATTAGACGTCATCGTCATGATCAGTGAGATTTGAACGGATTTTAAAATCTGAGAAGACATAAAACCAGAAATACACTCCCCTCAGATTAGCATCCAAAACGTCAAAGTGAAGAAATTCAACAAGTGCTATTTGTGATGCTGACTACTAAAAATTTTAAGAAACATTCAGTGCAGTCAGAATTCCACCCATCTCAATGGAAGCGGTGAGAATAAATGAAAAGGGAACCCTACTTTACCACCAGCTACAGTCAGTATGGATGTATCCCCGAGATTAAAGTGGACATGGCCTACGAAGGCGTGTAATGGAAAGGAGCTGGAAGTTACTAGTTTTAGCCCTCGGTCCACAGCCATAGAAAAAGCGTACAATTCGGATGGTCCCACTACCAGTGCAGATTAAATTAATAACCGCGTCCGAAGCGCTCAGCACCTACTGTAATGCAAGATTGTGAAAACTCCGATAACAAAAACATCTCTCAATTCGCCTATAAAAGTTATGGTTAGTTAATGCGGGGCTTACTAAAATACTACGGCACGAGTGTTCGTTCTCATGTATGAGTACCACGAGGTTGTTTTCTGCATCAGTGAGACGACCGATCCTCCGGGTGCGCCTAAGGCGTCTGAAAAGCCCTATGTACACTTTCAAATGCAAGCACTACCCTAAGGAGGAAGGCGAGCTGGAAATTTAGGTGAAACTCGAGTAATCGGATTAAAGTCAATGGTTTTGCAATGAAAATACTGCAAAATAATGAGGTCAAAGAGTGAAGTCACATCGCTGGCTGTATGAAGCATGACAGCGACAAGGTTGTTTCTAAAGATAATCAGCATACTAAACCGATGTTTTCACTTCTTTGTTGTAATGACTATCCCAACCGATAGTTGCTACCTTGACGTGGTGGTCGGGCTTGCACATCACAACGAGCTATGCTGATGGAACACTTACTTCCCCGAGGTCCTACCATACCAGAAAGATCGGTTGGATAGCGGTTGGACGAAAAGCAGTTACTGTTGTGGTTTAAATTACTACACAATGATGGGGGTCTGAGGGCGAAGTCATACTGCTGCTAGCTAGATGGGATGTGACAGTAGTAAGGTGTTTCCCTTGGATGACCAGCAGTACAATGCTGCCTTCTCAGTGGAAGCAGGGTTTAGAAAAGGCTAGCCCCCAAAATAACATACTCTACCACGCCCAACGCTCTCCCAGGCCGGCGGTGTTGGTTCATTTGTCGTTTCTTTACGACCATCCGGCCACAAAAATACAAAAGTTCAAAATAATCATACACAGAAGGCTGCTCGTGACAGGTCTCAAGCAGATATCCAATGAGCTCTGTGGTCACACAAATCTCTTTCAGGTATCTTAAGAAGAAATAGCTTTCCACCGTGTGGGCAGTCGGAAAGTGTCAACCGCCCTCATAACTCGATCAGCACTCTAGTTCCCCAAGACCGCTATCCACCTCCCCCATCATTACCTTCTCATCTTCCTTCACGTCTCTCAACTAACGATACTACATCATCTTCAATTTCTCCTACCTCTGCAGCCTTCGACAACGATATGAGTCCACAAAACAGCATCCTTGGTCTCCTCAAACTACGCTCCAACTTACATATTCCAGCCTTCAATATCCGCAACCTTCGTCAAACTGGTCAACAGGCTTCGTTGGCAAAGACTCTAGCAACTCGGGGCATGGGTGTGTGCTGTGTTTGTGAAGTACGCATACAGGACCCAAGTACGGTTGTTCACTTGACCTCTTCCGGCCAATCTGGTGAATCCATGAAATTCACCCTTCGAGTTCCTGGAGATTTGTTAGCTAGCTCTCGTGGTCTGGCAGGTGTAGGCACAGCATTGAGCACTAGGGCAGAAAACTCGCTACTAGACTACATCCCAGTTGATAGTCATCTCTGGGCCATCCAACTGAACGGCACAGTGAGAACTAAAAGGAATAGTGAGACTCGCCGTTGCCTCTTTGTAATCTCTGCTTACACACCCACTAACTGTAGTTCAGATAAAGTGAAGGATGAGTTCTACCATAAACTGCATAGCCTCCTCTAGAAAGTCAAACGTTCGGACGTGGTGGTTGTTGCAGGTGACTTCAATGCATAGGTGGGTAGACTGAGTGAGGCAGAAAGGCACTTAGATGGCACTTTCGGAGTTCCGGCTGAACGTACACATGACGATGATCGCCTACTTCAACTACGCTCAGATAACCGCCCATTTTTAGCTAGCACAAATTTCAGACATAAAGAAAGACACTGTCTAACGTGGCATCCATCGGGCTCAACTTAGAGATGGACACAAATAGACCACACTGCTATTAGTCATCGCTGGAGAGGATCGGTGGAAGACTGTCGCTCCTTCTGGAGTACATGTTTGGATAGCGGCCACGCATTGGTCCAAGTGCGTATATCCCTGCGTCTCAATGGACGTAAGGAAAACTGGGCAACAAAACCACTACGAGTGCTGCCGAGCAACGAAAACACCAAAGCCGTGTTCAGTGAGAACTTGGATAGGCAGTTATCGGAACAGAAGACTATCACTCACCCAGAACAAGCTTGGTGCCATCTCCAGTCTGCTGTAAAAGCAACGGTGAGGACCGTAGCCAACTCCGAAAGAGTCTCTAGAAACAGCCAGTGGATATCAGCAGTCTCTTCCAAACTAATGGATGCATGTAAACACATCCCTGGCTGCAGGCTCTCAGTACAATGAAGAGCAAGCGCAACTTGAAAGTAGATTCAGGAAAAGTCTACACAACGACCGCGAACAGTGGTGGGCAGCGAAGGCTAAAGAGATGGAAAAGGCAGTGGCAATGGGTAACAGTAGACAGCTATTTAGACTTATTAAGGAAACTGGTGGTGAGGGAAAGGTCAACAACACTTAGTGAGGCTATAGGGAGAAGGACAGATCTGAGATTCATTCACAGAGGAGACGGCTGGAACGATGGGCAGAACACTTCGAGGAACAGTTTAACTGATCTCCAGCCACCATTGCGTTGCCCGCCATACAGTCAAATCCTGAACGCAACATTCTGATATGCCCCAAACACTAGCGGAAGTCGAGTAAGCAGTAGGTAACCTGAAACGAGGAAGAGCGGGAGGGCCAGAAGAACTAACTCCTGAGGTATACAAGAACAGTGGTAAGGTGCTCTTAGTCAGGTTAACGGAAGTGTTAACCAGTATATGGGAATTAAATACGATCTCATCTCACTGGTCCAAATCACTGATTATCCCAGTCTTCAACAAAGACGGGAAGTCCTCTTGTGATAACCACACAAGAATCAACCCGACGAACATAGTGTCCAAGATTCTAGATTCCATAATTCTTCGACGCCTGAGTTCAGCTCGGGAACAACAAGCCCAAGAGAACCAGACAGGCTTTAGACTCAGCTGCGGATGTATCGACCAAATATTCACACTGCCCCAGGTCCTTAAACATAGGCACGCTTACAAACGCCCGACAATAACTGTATTTCTCGATCTGAAGGCGGCATTCCATTCCGTTGGTCCAGAAGTCTTATGGCAATGTCTCTCACTGAAAGACGTGCCGAGTATTTACATCACCATCTTATTGAAGGCCCTCCACTAGAACACTTGTGGGCGTGTTACAGCCTACGATGAGATGTCCAGAGGGCTATGCTCATCCAGTGGTGTTCGTCGAGGATGCCCACTATCCCCATTCTTATTCAATTTTATCATAGATATTCTCATAGAGGTCTCCCTCTCGTCACCTGATTACACGGACGTGACCTAATCACAGAAGAATTTTCATTAGACCTAGAATATCCAGATGACATAGTCAGTCCTGTTAAGTGAAGACACTGACAAGATGCAGAGTCTTCTGAACACTTTGAGTGGCAATTTGAGAATGTTCGGGATGCGGTTCTCACCACCCAAATGCAAATTGTTGCTCCACGATTGGTCTTCAACGGTGCCCCACCGCGGCTAACAATAAAGAGTGTAGTGGTTGGGCGTGCCGACCACTTCACTTACCTTGGAAGTAGGATTAGCCCTGGTGGCTCAGTGGCCGATGAGATTTATGCACCACGTGAGTAACGCAGAAGTCAGGTATAGAATTTTAGGGAGAAGAGGTAAGTCAGTTGACAAGGTTATAAACCTTCATCGATTGAGATGGTTGGGACACATGTTACGTATGCCCAGTCGCCGATTGCCTCGTCACACAATGTTGGCCGAAGTGGGTCCAGGCTGGAAAAAGGCCCGGGATGGTCAGACTAAAACATGGCACCAATGCATGAAGTCGCTGACTGTTGGTTTGAGCCATGTGGGGCGATGCAGACTGGGTAGTTGGGGTCCGCGGGACAAGAGGAACCAGTGACTGGAGACTCTAGGTGATACGGCTCACAACCGATGTCAGTGGCGCAGATGTATAAACACACTACTCTCATCTTAACGACGCTACACCGAATCTAACAATTTTCTCATCCTTCCTTTCTCTCCCTTCGTATTTTACATTTCTTTTGACTGATTATTATCACCTTCATCTTGCACTTCACTGCCCTTTTACTTGATGTATTGACATGAGCTGCGGCAACTCGGACCATTACCTAGTAATGCCTGGTCCTCTGTTGATAGTGTTGATGTAAAGAAAGGCTGCAAAACCTGGTTCGTAAAAGTACAACGCCTCTCTTAGGCGAAAGATTCCCGGTCCTGACAGTCAAGGACTATGAAATATGGAACCGAAGGATGAAATTCAAATCAGAAATCGAAAGGCTGTGTACGACCGGTCTCAAGCAGCCACACCCGTGATCAATGGTCACACTTACGGCTTGATAAGAATACCATTACCAGCCAACTCCCTTCAGCAGATACGTCAGGAAAAATTAACTGAGTAGCCCAAAAGCACTCATTTCTGTTAACACTTGACTCCTTTTCTGACCAACCGAAATACGAAACCTGAAGATAGCACCAGATCGCATTTAATCAAGTTGCGATTGGTGTCTGAAAATAGATCGCATATTAAGGAGTAACTATTGGCTACGTATTCAAGATCCTACCTTTCTGTGGTTGCTTACACTCAGTAGCATAATACTGCGACGCGGCAGTGCCCGTAAACAAATAGAAAAAGTCAGACTGGCCAACCAAAATCGCAACGTTGAATATGAACAAGAATCAGAACAGTTAGTGGCATACTGCAAGTAACTTACGCTGTAGTGGAGGTCTGGAAATATCATCACTGCTGACTTCCCAGGGGTGTGACAGCAGTAAACCGTCTCCATCACGCGGTCAGCACTTTAGATTCACTATACCCCCACCTTGGAGAGGATGGGTTAAAAAAGGTAAACTGTACGCTGTCCTGCTATATGGCTTTCGTCGCCAGTCGTACGGTTTCCTAATTACGCATACAACCCTACAAGCTCCAACACCCTTAGCTTATGCGTGGCCGGCCACAAGCTGCAACAATGGAGCACTGTTGTCACGTAAACCTAGTGAACTTAATCTCTCAGGTAACCTACGACGACATTACGTTGAAATAGCATGGAAATCCACAAAGTATCAACCATTGATATGATTCTAATGATAAATAAGACCCACTGAGTCATTATCTGAACTCTTTAATTGCCTCGACCTTTGACTTCCCTAAGCCTTCCTATAGTTGTCATTATGCCTCTGGCGGTTTCCTCAACTTCTCATCACGCGACCGCTGATCAAGATCCATGACCCTAAAACGCTATTTCTTAAAACCACGCCAACAATTTCACAATACGAATTTAAACTACTGAACCCTTTGTTAAATCGGACGACTGGTATCAGTTGCAAGAACTTGGGACCTCAGGATATAGACGTATGCTGTGCCAGGATAAGGGTAAAGAAGCCGATTGTGGTTTCGCACCTAACCTCAATCGGCTAATATTATGAGTATGCAAACTCACACTTCGAGATTTTGGGGACTCAATTCCTCCTCTTTTACATCTTGTAGGTGTAGACAGCCCCCGAAGGCAGAAAGTACTCTTCTAGACAGAATTCTAGTTGACTGTCGCCCATGTACTGTTCGACTAAACGATGTAATGAGGACTAAAAGATGGAATTCGCTGTTGTCCCTTTGTAATTTCTCCTTACGCACTTACTGAGTACAGCTCGACAAAGAGAATACCAAGGCTATGTTCAAAGAGGAACTGGCTGGACAGTTATCGCAACAGAATGTCACTCATCCTGAAAAAGCATGGAGCCATCTCCAGGCTACCGTAAAAGTAGTGCTGAATAATGTAACTAACTCTCAGGAGGAGGTTAGAAAGAGTCAGTGGATCTTGGTAGCTTCTTCTGAATTAACGGATGCACGCGAACGCACCACTGCAGGCTCCCAGAACAATGAGGAGCGAAAGCAACTCAAATGTAAACCGATGAGAAGTTTACGTAGTGGCCACGAGCAGTGGTGAGCAGCCAAAGCTAGAGATCGAAAAGGCAGCGGCGATAGATGACAGTCACTTAGGCTGATCAGGAAAATTGGGGCGAAATTGTCAGTAGTTAGTGAGACTATGGTGGAGAATAGGTCTGTGATTCACTCACAGAAAAGACTGCAACGATAAGCGGAACGCTTTAAAGGACAGTTCAACTGGCCTCCGGCTATTGTTTCATTGCCCGTTATCCGGTCAGCCTGAATGGAACATGGAGACAGAACCCCTGACACTTGCAGATGTCGAGAGGGCTGTAAGTAACCTGAAGTGTCGAAGAGCAGCAGGGTCAGATGGACTAGTTTTAGAAAGTTATATAAAACTATTTCCCATTGCGGTTGCCTGTTTCAACCATGGACTACCGAACATTTTCCACCGAATATATTTCATCAAACTGTTCCCTTTACATTTGCTTTAACCTTTTCAGTATTTATTCGAAACGCGGAATGCAGTATCAAGCATTTTAAAAATGTATTCGACAAGTCGTTTTTTAAGTTGACAAGAAATGGGAGAAAAAACCTCACGCTGGATGGGAATGAATTTTTAGATGCACAAAAGTGCAGCACATTGCTACACCCAGGATGCGCATTTCGAATTGCGGGATTTCGCGCTGGCTGAATGGACCCTCACTGCCATCAAACACGCTCGATTTTCTACCCATTCCCTATTCCAGGACACGCTATTCTGCTCAACATTATTGCCAGAAGCAATGATCATTTCGTTTAAAAATAATGTATAGAGAGTGAAGCTTCGGAACATTATATGCGGAGAATACAGCATCAAATATGTGTGGAATAAAAGTTATCATGATTACTGTCTCTAAGTTTCGTGTCACTACCTTAGTGAGCTGATATGTGTGGCACTTTGGACCGTTACGCAGTGATACTTGGTCGTGTGTTGATATTGCTGGTGACGACAGGGATGCTTACTGACTCAGTTTCCTGCACCTAACTTCAACATTACTCACACGTTTGTTTCCCAGTACACCAACAATGTGCCTGAGACACGTACAGTCAGGGGCCTGGAACCTCAGATCTGGCTTCAGCTGCTACGTTATTCATACAATACGATAGGGAGGACTACGTCCTGCATACTTGTCCTTTGGCAAGTATAAGAATTAATTCGCAAGTGCGAGAACTCATTTTGTTTTATCAGGATTATACGTGCAAATACTTTGGCGCTGCAGAAAGCGTTGTGAGGGTCCACCCTTGGTAGGCAGTTGAAAATCTCACAGGCGTCAGGTGTGATGTATGCTGGAAAATGCCAAACCGGCCTTCTCTACCTCAGCTGATATTTCATTAAAAGAATGCCAAAATATAGTGTAACACGTGTTTATGTACCAACACTTACGGTGAGGGGTCAAATTACTACTTGGCTGTCGAAACCAAAGCATCTGGAGTTATCTGAATCTAGGACTCACCATTCGCAAGTCAAACGCCTAAGCCACTGACCCAAAGCTGCACCACGAGGTTTCACAAGCAACCAACCCATTCAGCCCAATGCAGCTCCCAAAGGTATTCAACACATTCAACCACTTTAGCCCTATCTTTAAACTACGAGTTAGTGTGGATCAGTTTCGAAGTATCATTGTGCTCAGTAGGCGCGAACTGTATGCCAAACATTCAAGTGTCTGCTGAAGGCATTCAGAGAACTGCATTCTACTGGTGTCTACATGTAACAGAACTGTGTTGTCTGTGCTCTAAGTCAATGAGGTGTCCTCCAGGGAGTTGGGTAATTCATAAGAAGCCAGAGGAACATACAGTTATATCTTTAGGAAGATTTAACCTAATGTATCTACTGCACAAAACCATTACTATGGGCATTGAAAATGGAACACAAAATTACTAGTTTACCTCCAAAATCAGCTGAGTATCCTTTGGGATTTCCTTCATAATCTCCAAGGTCTTTTTCCACTGCAGAAGATCAGGTGAACACGCACGCTGAGTGTACTTCAAAATTTCGGCAATAGGAAGTTGGTAGCGCATTATACGTTGCACGGGTTGCATGAGGTGAGAAACAACATCCTCTTTATCACCGACATAAATGCGTAGTTCCTCAAAAAAATCTCGATACTGCTCCGCTATCAGAGCTGCCTTACGGTGGTTTTCACAGTACTTTGAATATATGGATCTTAGACGAGCACGTGAGTCAATGAAGAGTTTCGGTATACGATCTGGATCACTTTCTACGAGACTGAGAAGTTTCTCGAGGAATGCTGAATGCCATTCATACAGTTGAATCCAGTTTCCCCAGACAATCCTCCATCTTGCGGCTAGATCCTCCGGAGCAACGGGCGGTGGGCTCTGGAAATCACCGTGAGGTATGGAACCCACTATTCCTGAGGGATTAGCATTGTCAACGCTCGGAGGAGCCGTACTGGAGGCAGAAACGGCAGGTATATAGAAATCTTTCACTAGCTTTAAACGTCGAACATAACCTTCTTCGGAGCTAACAAGCTCCATAAGAGGCTGTTTTCGTTGCAGTAGTGCGCGTGAGATTTCATCACCAGAGATATCTACGCCAACTCCCTTTTCAGAACACCGGTCTTCTTTGGGTTTCAGATTCGATGGGCTTTCAACTGAAGAATGGTCTTCCACGGATGCCTCCAGTCGCGATGTACAAGGACTGTCGTCAGCATAACTTGCTTGGCCAGCTGGCTCCTCACTTGCGGCTGCAGCGTTGGATTGAATAACCATCATATCTGATGAAACATCTTTTGATTCGATAGGGGAGCGAGATCCTAGTTCATCAGCAGACATGATTCTAGGATATTTGCATTCACACACACCAACACGCATAAACGATAACACATTGCTTAGTTAGTCCAGCTTCACAACGAACATCTAGCTCATAGGACTGAGTATAACGAACTACACACGGTAGGACTTACAGTAAATGCACAGAAAACCTGGTTTGGGACAGAAAGAAGCCATCAAAGGTGTGGTTGTACGACGCGCTTAGGGAAACAAATACAAACAACTTTCAACCTCCAATGTTTACTTCGTCGACAAGGTGAAGTGCGAGTGCCTGGACTCTAATCCTGTAGTAGAACAAAAGAATCCACCTACATGGTCAGCATAGATTTGTTTTGGCTTCATGTGACGTCTGAAATAACCAAGAGGCAGATCCATATCACGTGGCTCCTCATATTATTGATACTCCTGATCTGAAAGGTAAGAAAGTGATAAATCATACCACATTCGTTGACTACAAAATTAGTATACCGGCCCCTCGTAGAAGGTAAGTCACAGCTTTTCCAACGGCTCCAAAGCTGCAGGCCCTTATCACTGAAGAATTTGGTGCGACTCTCCACCTACTGACTTTACATTCAACCCTCTCAGAATGGCTCTTCCAACACAGCCTTTGGCAGGGTTTTCAAATTTTTAATTCGTTGTGATAATTTCGTCCAATTTTTAATTGTCGGGTCTAGGGAGCAGATATATCTAACGGAATTAATGGTGACAGACTAGTTTTCTTTGGATTGAGCTATATGTACAGATCGGTGGAAGTTTAGGGAGGGAACCAAGGACCAATGCTATCCCTGCCTATCACTGGTCACTTGGCCTCAAAGTCTTTTGTTATGTCCCGGTGTGAAACACATTTGCTTTTCAGCAGGTACGTGCGTACATTTTAGCTTATGATCACCTATTTATATGCCCTCATATAAATTGGTGCGATAGGATATGTGGAGCATCATTCTCATGTCTGGCGATGGTGGCTTTTTCAAACGGTATGCGAATTCGGAAGAGAGAAGAGTACACGAAAATAGTGAGTCAACGATTCAGCAAGCACGTAGCGTGTTCTTGCTCCCAGTAACAGGGCTTTCAAAAACATCTGATGTCACACAACGAGTGAAGCAGAGTAGACTAGGAAAAGAATCTGAAAATAGTGCTCTAATAAAGCCATGCATCGTGAGTGTGTCATTCTTCTTTCTCTTCTTCACCATAGCCTACATTTTTCGCATTATGATGTGGTAAATACAAGTCTTATTTCTTTGTTAGTTGTATATATCACCATCTTTCAGACGGAAGTTTTTGGTTACCATTTTCTGTTTCTGAAGAAGTAATACGTAACAGCCTGTGTCATCTGTGTGATGATTACATCATTTAAACAGTGGTTTTAAGCCCACAGACATACGCTTTCAACCGAACTACATAGATGTCTGTAGCGCCGAACGTGTAGTAGTATCCCCAATTTCCTTGAGTATGCCCGTCACTAGCTTCACTATTATCATCAATTACCGAATGTTTAGTCTTCCTATGCAGCTAATCCCCACAATCTACTATTTAATAGGACCTCCATTTACCACACTGTTTTGTCATTATATGGGCTGTGGTGAACAACAGAAACTTGAGGGAAGTCGAATATGAAAAACGCAGATCCCTTTTAGCCACTCAAGGTTTGTAGAACTGAGAGTAAGCCATATTTGCTTGGAGCTAACCTGTGCAACATTTTGCGTTAAACCTACCACCTAATTGGCCTCACACTACTGTTCAGAGGTGCTATGACTGGTGTAAATTTTCAGGGCAGCAGAAGGTAAGTCTTAACGCTCTCCTGCTGTGTTGCTTTGGTGAGAAGTTAGTACTTATCGAAGGGTACCAAATGTTAGGTACGCTTCATAGGACCAGTGAAGCGATGCTCTTAATTGATTGCTCGTGACAGACCGATATAAACTGGAGAACCGATGAAATCCCGGGAAAAATTGTAAACTTCGGAATTAGTGTAGTAGAATTAGGGAACGATGGTTTCTTGGGTTCCGCGGCAGTCTTACTGGAGTACTTTCTAGGCTTGGAATGGTCACAGTTGTCTTCTCGGTTCCGAAAAACCTGAGAGGAGAGAAGTAATCGATTATCAACTAATCCGATCTCAAGATAGTACTACCCACACCGATCTGCGGATGACTAAAAGCTTCTCGAGCACCGCCCATCGGTACGACAGGATCCTAGATGCGCATATAAACTCCTTTCGAAAGTATCGGGGGATTGGGCTGTGACGGCTACTGAAGGAAGGGAGTTCCAGAGTTCAAAAGCTCTAACTGCAAACCAGTTGGCACGGATCTTTGTACGTACCCTCTCATGCTGTGCTGTTAACGAGTGACCCCTAGCGTGGCGTCCCCGATTAAGGCTCTATAAGGATGTATTCGGACTAAGGGGATTGCGTGTAATGTGGTGCACCATGATCATATCCCCTCGTATCCTCCTTTACCGTACCGGACGCAATCGCTTTCCTCGTGGCTCTTCTCTGAACCTGTTCCTGGATGGCTACGTCCTTCCTCAAGTATGGGGACACCACGAGAGTTTTCTGAGGATGAGGGCAAACATCTAGCTTATACAATGCGGTAAAAAGAGGAGTTGGACTTCCTCAAGTTAGCGAAAAAAGCCCCAGGACTCTCCAGGCCTTGTCCGTCGTGATGCGACAACGGAGGTAAGCTCTCGGTGTACCACTCAGCGTAACTCCCAGTTCTTGTTCTTTGTTAGGGTGACAGATATTTGTTTCGCCTAGGGTAAGAATAGGAACTGCTTCTATATCTCCCAACTATCGTTGTCCTACGCTTCTTCAAGTTGAGAGAGAGCAGGATTTCTCTAACCTGATTTGGGATTTTCGTCAAGTCCTTCTGGAGGACCGAAATATTCTTTAGGATCTATGATTCATCCCAAACCTTCAGATCATTGGCAGACAGTAGTGAACGAGAACTGAGGGATCCGAGTAGGTCACTAATGAAATGGAGAAAAGGTAGTGAGCCCAGAATCGCAGTATGAGACTCCTGAGCAAGCACACAGACAACGCTATCAGGAATGCGACACAAGGCCATCAGATCTCGTAACAAGCAGGCTAAAATCTGACGACTGCGTACGAATCCCAAAGTCCATGGACCTGTCTTCTATCAATTCAGAATATAGTACAGTCATCAACCAAAACATCATTGAGTATCTGCGCTCATATTGGACGCGTTTAAAACCAGAAGTTACAGTTTTTCATGAGAAACCCAAGGAAAACTGGCAGCGGGTGACCATGTGTAACTTCTCAGAAATGGTTGTGCTGTCGTTTGCCGGTTATTTTACGCACATGAATACACCTTTCTTGTCTAGCACCATCGTACGGTACCTTTAAAGAACGGGAACACAGTGTCTCAGGAAAATCTGGCTAACGCGCTCTTAAAAAATAGATGTGCTGATAAACACACGGTGTGAGAAATTTTTGGATGAATATATGCCTGGGTATGTACAGACATGGTTTTGGCCTTAATGCTCCAAGGAAATCACGGTTTTTCGGGCATTTGTTGATGAAATTAACATCAGAACCGATGGCTGTTTGCTGAGAGGAGTACGCGTAACTTTATGTGTATGTGGGCATTCGGGATTTGCGAAGGTCAGTGTATGAAAGGAATGAACTTCATAGCAGACCAGCCGCTAAAGTTGAATGGTTGTCAACAATGATGATCAAGTAGATCTGTAAAGATCAAAGGGTTTATGTGAACGAATGGATTGGGGGAAAATGAAAGGGAGGGACAGAAGAGGACTTGGAAGCTGGAGTGGTTGATGTGAAGGTTCTGGAAATACTGCGGCGTCAAATAATACCTCAAGATAAGTAGTCCATGGTCTGGCGACGACATATATTGATAATGACGTTAGTATTCCCAAAGTACTTGTTAGGCTCATGTTACATGGTCAAGGATTACCGCCGTTTCATATGCCGTCTTGCTACGTTATTTCTCATTGATGACCACGTAGGCGGCTAGTTCACACGTCTCGACACGCACAATTTCTCTAATTTACGACTCTTACCTCGATACTTAACTGTGCTTCTTCTTGGCCGCCCTAAGTGAGTACTGAACAAATGTGAAGAATCAGTGGACGATATTTTAAAATCGCCAGAAGGTATTCAAAATAAGATATGATGATAAAAACTGATGGTACGACATTAAAAATGGAACACGTGGCTATGCGTGCATTTGGCGTATTCGCCTGCACAACACAGATTTAGCGTCCTATTCACTATTGATGAAGACGGTGGGGTCCGATTTCTTCAGGATCAGGCCAGCGTAGACTTAACAACGGTCACACCTTTCAATGTAACTAACTTCTCAGCTTTACACCTGATACACCACACTTATGATCATGGGCAACAGAACGATAATACCTCACGAAGCTGAGCTGTATAGCAGCACTATTTTCAGATTCTTTTCCTAGTCTACTCTGCTTCACTCGTTGTGTGACATCAGATGTTTTTGAAAGCCCTGTTACTGGGAGCAAGAACACGCTACGTGCTTGCTGAATCGTTGACTCACTATTTTCGTGTACTCTTCTCTCTTCCGAATTCGCATACCGTTTGAAAAAGCCACCATCGCCAGACATGAGAATGATGCTCCACATATCCTATCGCACCAATTTATATGAGGGCATATAAATAGGTGATCATAAGCTAAAATGTACGCACGTACCTGCTGAAAAGCAAATGTGTTTCACACCGGGACATAACAAAAGACTTTGAGGCCAAGTGACCAGTGATAGGCAGGGATAGCATTGGTCCTTGGTTCCCTCCCTAAACTTCCACCGATCTGTACATATAGCTCAATCCAAAGAAAACTAGTCTGTCACCATTAATTCCGTTAGATATATCTGCTCCCTAGACCCGACAATTAAAAATTGGACGAAATTATCACAACGAATTAAAAATTTGAAAACCCTGCCAAAGGCTGTGTTGGAAGAGCCATTCTGAGAGGGTTGAATGTAAAGTCAGTAGGTGGAGAGTCGCACCAAATTCTTCAGTGATAAGGGCCTGCAGCTTTGGAGCCGTTGGAAAAGCTGTGACTTACCTTCTACGAGGGGCCGGTATACTAATTTTGTAGTCAACGAATGTGGTATGATTTATCACTTTCTTACCTTTCAGATCAGGAGTATCAATAATATGAGGAGCCACGTGATATGGATCTGCCTCTTGGTTATTTCAGACGTCACATGAAGCCAAAACAAATCTATGCTGACCATGTAGGTGGATTCTTTTGTTCTACTACAGGATTAGAGTCCAGGCACTCGCACTTCACCTTGTCGACGAAGTAAACATTGGAGGTTGAAAGTTGTTTGTATTTGTTTCCCTAAGCGCGTCGTACAACCACACCTTTGATGGCTTCTTTCTGTCCCAAACCAGGTTTTCTGTGCATTTACTGTAAGTCCTACCGTGTGTAGTTCGTTATACTCAGTCCTATGAGCTAGATGTTCGTTGTGAAGCTGGACTAACTAAGCAATGTGTTATCGTTTATGCGTGTTGGTGTGTGTGAATGCAAATATCCTAGAATCATGTCTGCTGATGAACTAGGATCTCGCTCCCCTATCGAATCAAAAGATGTTTCATCAGATATGATGGTTATTCAATCCAACGCTGCAGCCGCAAGTGAGGAGCCAGCTGGCCAAGCAAGTTATGCTGACGACAGTCCTTGTACATCGCGACTGGAGGCATCCGTGGAAGACCATTCTTCAGTTGAAAGCCCATCGAATCTGAAACCCAAAGAAGACCGGTGTTCTGAAAAGGGAGTTGGCGTAGATATCTCTGGTGATGAAATCTCACGCGCACTACTGCAACGAAAACAGCCTCTTATGGAGCTTGTTAGCTCCGAAGAAGGTTATGTTCGACGTTTAAAGCTAGTGAAAGATTTCTATATACCTGCCGTTTCTGCCTCCAGTACGGCTCCTCCGAGCGTTGACAATGCTAATCCCTCAGGAATAGTGGGTTCCATACCTCACGGTGATTTCCAGAGCCCACCGCCCGTTGCTCCGGAGGATCTAGCCGCAAGATGGAGGATTGTCTGGGGAAACTGGATTCAACTGTATGAATGGCATTCAGCATTCCTCGAGAAACTTCTCAGTCTCGTAGAAAGTGATCCAGATCGTATACCGAAACTCTTCATTGACTCACGTGCTCGTCTAAGATCCATATATTCAAAGTACTGTGAAAACCACCGTAAGGCAGCTCTGATAGCGGAGCAGTATCGAGATTTTTTTGAGGAACTACGCATTTATGTCGGTGATAAAGAGGATGTTGTTTCTCACCTCATGCAACCCGTGCAACGTATAATGCGCTACCAACTTCCTATTGCCGAAATTTTGAAGTACACTCAGCGTGCGTGTTCACCTGATCTTCTGCAGTGGAAAAAGACCTTGGAGATTATGAAGGAAATCCCAAAGGATACTCAGCTGATTTTGGAGGTAAACTAGTAATTTTGTGTTCCATTTTCAATGCCCATAGTAATGGTTTTGTGCAGTAGATACATTAGGTTAAATCTTCCTAAAGATATAACTGTATGTTCCTCTGGCTTCTTATGAATTACCCAACTCCCTGGAGGACACCTCATTGACTTAGAGCACAGACAACACAGTTCTGTTACATGTAGACACCAGTAGAATGCAGTTCTCTGAATGCCTTCAGCAGACACTTGAATGTTTGGCATACAGTTCGCGCCTACTGAGCACAATGATACTTCGAAACTGATCCACACTAACTCGTAGTTTAAAGATAGGGCTAAAGTGGTTGAATGTGTTGAATACCTTTGGGAGCTGCATTGGGCTGAATGGGTTGGTTGCTTGTGAAACCTCGTGGTGCAGCTTTGGGTCAGTGGCTTAGGCGTTTGACTTGCGAATGGTGAGTCCTAGATTCAGATAACTCCAGATGCTTTGGTTTCGACAGCCAAGTAGTAATTTGACCCCTCACCGTAAGTGTTGGTACATAAACACGTGTTACACTATATTTTGGCATTCTTTTAATGAAATATCAGCTGAGGTAGAGAAGGCCGGTTTGGCATTTTCCAGCATACATCACACCTGACGCCTGTGAGATTTTCAACTGCCTACCAAGGGTGGACCCTCACAACGCTTTCTGCAGCGCCAAAGTATTTGCACGTATAATCCTGATAAAACAAAATGAGTTCTCGCACTTGCGAATTAATTCTTATACTTGCCAAAGGACAAGTATGCAGGACGTAGTCCTCCCTATCGTATTGTATGAATAACGTAGCAGCTGAAGCCAGATCTGAGGTTCCAGGCCCCTGACTGTACGTGTCTCAGGCACATTGTTGGTGTACTGGGAAACAAACGTGTGAGTAATGTTGAAGTTAGGTGCAGGAAACTGAGTCAGTAAGCATCCCTGTCGTCACCAGCAATATCAACACACGACCAAGTATCACTGCGTAACGGTCCAAAGTGCCACACATATCAGCTCACTAAGGTAGTGACACGAAACTTAGAGACAGTAATCATGATAACTTTTATTCCACACATATTTGATGCTGTATTCTCCGCATATAATGTTCCGAAGCTTCACTCTCTATACATTATTTTTAAACGAAATGATCATTGCTTCTGGCAATAATGTTGAGCAGAATAGCGTGTCCTGGAATAGGGAATGGGTAGAAAATCGAGCGTGTTTGATGGCAGTGAGGGTCCATTCAGCCAGCGCGAAATCCCGCAATTCGAAATGCGCATCCTGGGTGTAGCAATGTGCTGCACTTTTGTGCATCTAAAAATTCATTCCCATCCAGCGTGAGGTTTTTTCTCCCATTTCTTGTCAACTTAAAAAACGACTTGTCGAATACATTTTTAAAATGCTTGATACTGCATTCCGCGTTTCGAATAAATACTGAAAAGGTTAAAGCAAATGTAAAGGGAACAGTTTGATGAAATATATTCGGTGGAAAATGTTCGGTAGTCCATGGTTGAAACAGGCAACCGCAATGGGAAATAGTTTTATATAACTTTCTAAAACTAGTCCATCTGACCCTGCTGCTCTTCGACACTTCAGGTTACTTACAGCCCTCTCGACATCTGCAAGTGTCAGGGGTTCTGTCTCCATGTTCCATTCAGGCTGACCGGATAACGGGCAATGAAACAATAGCCGGAGGCCAGTTGAACTGTCCTTTAAAGCGTTCCGCTTATCGTTGCAGTCTTTTCTGTGAGTGAATCACAGACCTATTCTCCACCATAGTCTCACTAACTACTGACAATTTCGCCCCAATTTTCCTGATCAGCCTAAGTGACTGTCATCTATCGCCGCTGCCTTTTCGATCTCTAGCTTTGGCTGCTCACCACTGCTCGTGGCCACTACGTAAACTTCTCATCGGTTTACATTTGAGTTGCTTTCGCTCCTCATTGTTCTGGGAGCCTGCAGTGGTGCGTTCGCGTGCATCCGTTAATTCAGAAGAAGCTACCAAGATCCACTGACTCTTTCTAACCTCCTCCTGAGAGTTAGTTACATTATTCAGCACTACTTTTACGGTAGCCTGGAGATGGCTCCATGCTTTTTCAGGATGAGTGACATTCTGTTGCGATAACTGTCCAGCCAGTTCCTCTTTGAACATAGCCTTGGTATTCTCTTTGTCGAGCTGTACTCAGTAAGTGCGTAAGGAGAAATTACAAAGGGACAACAGCGAATTCCATCTTTTAGTCCTCATTACATCGTTTAGTCGAACAGTACATGGGCGACAGTCAACTAGAATTCTGTCTAGAAGAGTACTTTCTGCCTTCGGGGGCTGTCTACACCTACAAGATGTAAAAGAGGAGGAATTGAGTCCCCAAAATCTCGAAGTGTGAGTTTGCATACTCATAATATTAGCCGATTGAGGTTAGGTGCGAAACCACAATCGGCTTCTTTACCCTTATCCTGGCACAGCATACGTCTATATCCTGAGGTCCCAAGTTCTTGCAACTGATACCAGTCGTCCGATTTAACAAAGGGTTCAGTAGTTTAAATTCGTATTGTGAAATTGTTGGCGTGGTTTTAAGAAATAGCGTTTTAGGGTCATGGATCTTGATCAGCGGTCGCGTGATGAGAAGTTGAGGAAACCGCCAGAGGCATAATGACAACTATAGGAAGGCTTAGGGAAGTCAAAGGTCGAGGCAATTAAAGAGTTCAGATAATGACTCAGTGGGTCTTATTTATCATTAGAATCATATCAATGGTTGATACTTTGTGGATTTCCATGCTATTTCAACGTAATGTCGTCGTAGGTTACCTGAGAGATTAAGTTCACTAGGTTTACGTGACAACAGTGCTCCATTGTTGCAGCTTGTGGCCGGCCACGCATAAGCTAAGGGTGTTGGAGCTTGTAGGGTTGTATGCGTAATTAGGAAACCGTACGACTGGCGACGAAAGCCATATAGCAGGACAGCGTACAGTTTACCTTTTTTAACCCATCCTCTCCAAGGTGGGGGTATAGTGAATCTAAAGTGCTGACCGCGTGATGGAGACGGTTTACTGCTGTCACACCCCTGGGAAGTCAGCAGTGATGATATTTCCAGACCTCCACTACAGCGTAAGTTACTTGCAGTATGCCACTAACTGTTCTGATTCTTGTTCATATTCAACGTTGCGATTTTGGTTGGCCAGTCTGACTTTTTCTATTTGTTTACGGGCACTGCCGCGTCGCAGTATTATGCTACTGAGTGTAAGCAACCACAGAAAGGTAGGATCTTGAATACGTAGCCAATAGTTACTCCTTAATATGCGATCTATTTTCAGACACCAATCGCAACTTGATTAAATGCGATCTGGTGCTATCTTCAGGTTTCGTATTTCGGTTGGTCAGAAAAGGAGTCAAGTGTTAACAGAAATGAGTGCTTTTGGGCTACTCAGTTAATTTTTCCTGACGTATCTGCTGAAGGGAGTTGGCTGGTAATGGTATTCTTATCAAGCCGTAAGTGTGACCATTGATCACGGGTGTGGCTGCTTGAGACCGGTCGTACACAGCCTTTCGATTTCTGATTTGAATTTCATCCTTCGGTTCCATATTTCATAGTCCTTGACTGTCAGGACCGGGAATCTTTCGCCTAAGAGAGGCGTTGTACTTTTACGAACCAGGTTTTGCAGCCTTTCTTTACATCAACACTATCAACAGAGGACCAGGCATTACTAGGTAATGGTCCGAGTTGCCGCAGCTCATGTCAATACATCAAGTAAAAGGGCAGTGAAGTGCAAGATGAAGGTGATAATAATCAGTCAAAAGAAATGTAAAATACGAAGGGAGAGAAAGGAAGGATGAGAAAATTGTTAGATTCGGTGTAGCGTCGTTAAGATGAGAGTAGTGTGTTTATACATCTGCGCCACTGACATCGGTTGTGAGCCGTATCACCTAGAGTCTCCAGTCACTGGTTCCTCTTGTCCCGCGGACCCCAACTACCCAGTCTGCATCGCCCCACATGGCTCAAACCAACAGTCAGCGACTTCATGCATTGGTGCCATGTTTTAGTCTGACCATCCCGGGCCTTTTTCCAGCCTGGACCCACTTCGGCCAACATTGTGTGACGAGGCAATCGGCGACTGGGCATACGTAACATGTGTCCCAACCATCTCAATCGATGAAGGTTTATAACCTTGTCAACTGACTTACCTCTTCTCCCTAAAATTCTATACCTGACTTCTGCGTTACTCACGTGGTGCATAAATCTCATCGGCCACTGAGCCACCAGGGCTAATCCTACTTCCAAGGTAAGTGAAGTGGTCGGCACGCCCAACCACTACACTCTTTATTGTTAGCCGCGGTGGGGCACCGTTGAAGACCAATCGTGGAGCAACAATTTGCATTTGGGTGGTGAGAACCGCATCCCGAACATTCTCAAATTGCCACTCAAAGTGTTCAGAAGACTCTGCATCTTGTCAGTGTCTTCACTTAACAGGACTGACTATGTCATCTGGATATTCTAGGTCTAATGAAAATTCTTCTGTGATTAGGTCAACGTCCGTGTAATCAGGTGACGAGAGGGAGACCTCTATGAGAATATCTATGATAAAATTGAATAAGAATGGGGATAGTGGGCATCCTCGACGAACACCACTGGATGAGCATAGCCCTCTGGACATCTCATCGTAGGCTGTAACACGCCCACAAGTGTTCTAGTGGAGGGCCTTCAATAAGATGGTGATGTAAATACTCGGCACGTCTTTCAGTGAGAGACATTGCCATAAGACTTCTGGACCAACGGAATGGAATGCCGCCTTCAGATCGAGAAATACAGTTATTGTCGGGCGTTTGTAAGCGTGCCTATGTTTAAGGACCTGGGGCAGTGTGAATATTTGGTCGATACATCCGCAGCTGAGTCTAAAGCCTGTCTGGTTCTCTTGGGCTTGTTGTTCCCGAGCTGAACTCAGGCGTCGAAGAATTATGGAATCTAGAATCTTGGACACTATGTTCGTCGGGTTGATTCTTGTGTGGTTATCACAAGAGGAC